CCAACTCTGTGCGACCCCAGAGATGGCAGCCCACCAGGCTCCCCCATCCCTGGGATTCTCCAGGCAAGAACTCGAGTTATTATACTCCTTCATATATAGTGCAAGAATCGCACAACAAGGAATTGTTATTGGATATGAACCAAAAGTAACATATAAATGTTGGTACAATCTCTTTGCAGCTGTATTTATAAATGAGATGGGTCAATAGTATTCTTTTTGGTACTATATTTTTGTCATCAGATATTATATGATAATGGATATACAAAATGATCTGGGGGAGTTTTTCATATTTTTCTATGGTTGAAATGGCATACATCATAATTACCTGGTTTTAAAGGTTAAATAGGAATTAGCACAGAATTATTTTTGTGCTTTTAATAACTGACTATACTATAACCGTGTATTTATAAATTGGAGTGCCCTGAGACTCAGTCCTCTGTTTTCTATTCTCCACTCTCCCTAGGAGATCTCATTCAAGTCCTTGGTTGTTAAGTACCATTGATTTCTTCCCTGTGCTCCAAATCTGTATATCCCAGAAGGCCTGCTTGATATCTCTAGTCTGGTCACTAAAAGACATCACAAACCACATCTCTGAAACAACTGCTCAAACTTAAAAACTAGGGGTCATCCTTGTCTCCTTTTTTTCCTCTCAATCTTTACAATCCCCATCCAAACAATCTATAATATCTGTCAATTTTACTTTCAAAAAGTGACTCTCTATGTGTTCAACAGGTACATGTTAGGGGAACAAAAATGTATGGATCTTAAGTTTAAGAGAGATGTCTAGGTTGGGAATACTTCGACTTGTGATGGAAGTAGTATTTTAAATTATAGAGAGGCTTCCCTGGTGGTCCAGTGGTTAAGACTCTGCACTTCCACTGCAGGTGGTGCGGGTTTGATCTCTGGTCAGAGAACTAAGATCCCACATAAGATCCCATATGCTGCACAGTGTGACCAAAAATAATAATAAAATAAAATAAATTTTAAAAAATAAAATTGTGGGATTGGGCCAAGATGGCAGAGTAGAAGGACCCTGAGCTCATCCCCTCTCACAGGCACATCAAAATTACAATGATTTACAGCACACCTATCAATGAAAAAGCTCAGAACCTACAAGAAAAGATAATCTACAACTAAAGATATAAATAAGAAATCACAACAAGAGGGGTATGAAGGGTGGAGTCCAATATAGTCAAGTCTCATCCCCCCAAGTGGTGACCCACAAAAGGGAGAATAATTATAACTGCAAAGGTTCTCCCCAAGGAGCGAGAGGTCTGAGCCCAACATTGTACTCCCCAGTCCAGGGGTCCTGCAGGGGGAAAGATGATCCCCTAGAAGGTTTGGCTTTGAAGGCCAGCTGGGCTCAATTTCCAAAGACGAAGAGGACTGGAGGAAATAGACTCCACTCTTGAAGTGTGCACCCAAATCTTACATGCTCCAGGACCCAGGGTAGAAGCACTAATTTGAAAGGAGCCTTGGTCAGACCTACCTGCTGATCTGGAGAATCTCCTGGAGAGATAAGAGGCAACTATATCTCTCCCTGGGGACACAGACCCTGGTGGCAGCCATTTCCAAGAGCTCTCTCTACCATGTGGACGCTGGTGCTGGCAAGCACATTTTGGAATCCTCCCTCTAGCTTATTAGCTTCAGGACCCAGCCCCACTCACGCCCAACAGCCCGTAGGCACCAGTACTCTGGCCAAGCAACTAATTGTGAGGGGGCACAGCCCTATGCACTAGCAGACAGGTTGCCTTAAGATCCTCTGAGCCCACAGCCACCCCTAGACTAGGCCCTGTCCCGGAGAGGGGCCAGAAGCAGGCCCCACACACCAGTGCACATGTAATAGATCAGGGACCATCAGGTTCCTGTGGCCAGAGATCCTGGGACCCAGCTCTACCCAACAGCAGGCAGACACCAGCCCCAGAATCCCAGGCCCTTCCCAGCAGCAAGCCTGTTCTAGACTTTCCACCCCAGCAAGAGGACACTAGCTCCATGAAAATCACAGCCCCCCAAACCTATGTACCCAAGTCACTCACCAGCAGGCCAGCTCCAGCCCCAGTACTAGATGGGCCCAGGCCCTGCCCACCAGCAAGCCTCCTCTAGCCTCAAGACAAGCCTCATCCCCTGCAGGTGAACACCAGCCCCAGGAAGACCACAGTCCTGAAGCCTACAGACCCAGATCAATCACCAGCAGGACAGAACCAGCACTAGGACCGACTGGGCCCTGGTCCCACCCACAAGCAGGTCAATATAAGCTTCAAGACACTCTGGGCCTTGCTGCCAACTGTGTCAGGAACCAATTGTGGGACCCCCCCCAGGCCCTGTAGCCAGATCCCAGGGCCTGGCTTTACCTACCAGCAGGCTGGCACTAGCTCTGGCTAGTAAACAAATGGGACCTAATTAAACTTTAAAACTTTTGCACAGCAAAGGAAATCACTGACAAAAAGAAAGGCTACTGAATGGGAGAACATATTTGCAAATGATATGATCAATAAGGGTTAATATCCAAAATATATAAATAGCTCATACAACTCAACATCAAAAAATAAACAACCTATTCAAAAAATAGGCAGAAGACCTAAATAGTTTCTCCAGAGAAGATATATACGTGGCAAACAGACACATAAAAGGATGCTCAATAGTGCTCATCATCAGAGAAATGTAAATCAAAACAATGAGCTACCACCTCACACCTGTCAGAATGGCCATTGTCAAAAAGGCCACAAATAACAAGTATTGGTGAGAATGTGGAGAAAAGGGAACTGCAGTACACGGTTAGTGGGAATGTAAATTGGTGCAGCTACTATAGAAAATAGCATGGAGGTTTATCCAAAAACTAAAAATAGAACTACCAAACGACCCAGCAATTCCATTCCTTGGTATATATCCAAAGAAAATGAAAACACTATTTCAAAAAGACACACACACTTCAATGTTCATAGCAGCACTACCTACAATTATTTACAATAGCCAAGATATGGAATTAACCTAAGTGTCCATCAACAGACAAATTGATAAAGAAGATCTGAGGTACACACATACACACACAATGGAACACTACACAGCCATAAGAAAGAATGAAATTCTGTCATCTGCAACAACGTAGGTGGACCTGGAGGACAGCATGCTTAGTAAAATAAGTCAGAGAAAGTAAAATACTATATATTATCATTTATATCTAAAAAATCTGAAAAATAAGACAAACTAGTGAATATAACAAAAAAGAAATAGACTCACAGATATAGACAACAAACTAGTGATTACCAGTGGTGAGAGGGAAGGGGGAAAGGCAAGATAGGAGTAGGGGATTAAGAGGTACCAACTATTATGTATAAAATAAATAAGCTACAAGGATATATTTATTGTACAGCACAGGGAACATAGCCAATATTTTATAACCATAAATGGAATAAAATCTATAAAGATGTTGAATCACTATGTTATATACCTGAAACTAATATCATATTATAAATCAACTATCTCTCTCTCTACATATATGTGCATATATATATATAACCAGACAGGATCTGGGGCTGTAACTGGGCATAGACTGTTAAAACCATCACCCCACCATTACCACTATTATGACTTTTATTAGCAGCAACTATGTAATCATTGTAATAAGAATTAACATATTCTAAACATTTTAATCTTCACAACCTTATAAGGTAGAGCCTACCTATATTCCCATTTTACAGCTGATGAGGTTAAAGTCCAGAGAAAATAAAATAATATGTAGGAGTGAATAAATTCATTCAAGGAGAACAAACAGAATGAAAAGAGGAGGGGTCTGAAGACAAAACTGGGAAAATACTAACTTTGGAGTCGTGGGCAGAGAAGAACAAACAGTTGAAAGAAACAGAAAGATAAGCCAGAGGGACAGGAGGAGCATCAGAAGAATTTGATGTCACAGAAAGCAAGACAGGATAGAGTGAGTGTCAAGGAGGGAATGGTCAAAAGAATCAAAGCCTACTGAAAAAAATCACATAAAACCTATCAAAGTATCCACTTGCTTTTGTAGTGAGGTAGTGACTACTGGTGACCTTATCAGAGATTTTTTCACTAGAGTTTTTGTAGGGTGAAATCCAAAGTGCAGCAGGTTGAATGGTAAAGGGAGCACAGTGAAGTGGACCTAGTATAGACTATTCTAATGAGAAGAAAGTCCAGGACATAGATTAGAGGGAGGAAATTATTCCAAGAACATAGGGAACCTGAACAGGCTTCCTGTCTGGGAGAAAAATAGCCAGCAGCACAGGGGTGGTGCAGCGAGGCTGAGATGCAGGAAATACGGGGGGTGGAAAGATGTAGTGAAGTCCCTGAAAAAAAGGAATAGGAGGAACTGGGATCTAGAGCTTGAAGACAGGGTTCAGCAAGGAAAACCAGGGGGCCTTCATGGCTCAACCACTTGATTTTCTTGACGAGCCAAACTCCAAGGCTGTCTGCTTTAGGATTAGGGAAGAGTACAAACAAGTTGAAACCGCATAGAAAATGTGAGAGAGGCTGACGGTAAAGCCAGAGGGCGCTGAACCAAAAGACCCCACCCCCACCCCCGCACCCCGCCCACTCAACTGACTCCCGGATTCGAAATTCTTTAGTATGCAGGTGCTTCAGACTGTCTTGGGAAGGCGAGTTCACCGTGCGGCACACTGCGGTCACTAGTTAGCCCGCCCTGTAGGAGGCGGTGCGCCAAGGAAGGGGCGTCCCCGCTGGATCCAGGAGCAGGCGCTCCACTGGCCGCCATACAAGGGGCGCCAGGCCGAGGACGGGGCTCCCACCAGGCCTTGCAGCCTCATTCAGAGCCCACAGCTCTGATGCACCACGCGGTGTGAGGAGCGGGTCACCCCACTCTTCGTTAGGGGACTCGTGGGTGTGAGGGCAAGGAGGCGAACCCCAGGACTGAGCTAGGGCTGAAGGAGGACTGAGGAGCCGAGAGGCGGATCGGTTTAGCGGCCATCGCTCACCACAGCTGCAGCGTCTCTGCAGACTGTGCCACAGAGGTCATGGCCTTGGACCTCAGAGATCGCGGGAGCGGTTTTCGCCACAGCGACGTAGTTAAGTTCATCAACCAAGAAGTACTCAGAAATGGCGGCGGCCCAGATTTCTACGTGAGCCACCGCTCGCGGCCCTGGAATGAGATCGAGGACAAGCTGCAGTCCGTCTTGGTCGACAAGCATGTGCCTCGCAACCTCAAGAAGGCCTGTGCCTGGAGCGCGCTGGCCTTGGGCGTGCGGGTGGCCACGAGGCATCAAGAGCAGCAGGCCCGCCGCATCAAGCGGCTGCAGGAGCAGGTGGAGGAGCGCGAGACGGCTGCCTGGGCCATGGCCTCGCAGCTGCAGCGTCTGCGCGAAGAGCGGAAGCAGATGACCACGCAGTTGCGCCGCACGCGCCAAGACCTGCAGCAGGCGCTGAGGGAACACGAGGCCCTGCGCGGCCAGCTGCTGCAGGCCGAGAGGCAGTCCCAGGCGACCGGAGTCAGCTCTCAATCCCCGCAGCTCCGGGCTGACACGTGGCCCCTGACCACTGAGGAGCGCAACAAGTTGCTGGCCTCGACCTCGCAACGCAGGCAGCTGGAGGCCCAGAGGGAGGAGGCGCAGAATGCTTCGGCAGGCAGTGTGCAGGGAGCCCAGGATCCTTGGGCCCAGGTTGTTCAACCCCCAGCTCCCATGCCATGCCCCATGCACATGCCATGCCCTGTGCCCATGCCATGCCCCATGCCCTTCCAATACCCACTACCTCCCCCATGTGGGGCACTCCCAGAAGCCCAACTAACCGCTGCCCCAACAATAGCATACCCGGCCCCCCAGATGCCTGCTGGGGTGATGTATGCACCTGCTATGTGGCCTGTAGCTGTGTCCCAGGAAGAGGTCGCCCCGCCGTGGGACCAGAGGATCGAGGGCCAAGGGGAAGGTCCCCACTTTGGAAGCCCTGTGGGGCACTTCCAAGATGACCCAATGAATCAACAACCTCAGGATCAGATGCCCAGGACGCCAGATGGTAAGAAAGGCTTTAAACCCTAGGAAGAGGGATGGATCCTCAGGAGGAGGGGTTGGGACTGCCTAAGTTACAGAATGGGATTGATTTTTCCTCATGTTTGGTTTGGGATGAATGCAAGAAAATCTAGATGCTAACTGAGGTGGGAAGTCTTGCCCCAAAGAAGCTCCTCACTGAATTCAGGGATGTAGAAAAAGAATGGAGGCATATTCTAAAGAGAAATCAATTTCTGGAGGTCCCCTTCTGATCAAAAACTTATTTACATTATAGAAAATTTGAAAACCCATCAAACAAAAATTTTCATTATCCTACCAACAAGCCATAACCATTTTAACACAATATGTTTCTACCTATGGATCTCTTCCCCCACTTTCATATTATACGTGTATACGTGTATATATGTCTATTGTTTCAAAGAAAGATGAGGTTCTAATGAATATGTTAATTTTTAAAGGAAAATTTCTCCAATGGCATTTAAATTCACAGATGGTGGACTGTTGATGGAGACTACCGATTGGTTGACATCTTAAGGTATACAGACTGATGTGATTAAACATTCTCTTTTTCTCCTTCCTGTATTCTTCTTAGCCTCTCTCTCCCATGATACCAGGTCTTTGGCTGATAATAACCATGCTTTTAGAACATAAGATACATTTTATTCTAGGAACACTGCTTTTCCTTGAGAATGCTATCGTTATGCTGTATACCGCAGCCGTGTTCATATTTGTTCCTTGATTTGTTTTTATAACATTCATTGGTTTGGGCCTGTTCTTTGTGTCTGTAAGCTCCAGGACCTTCGTGTGAGGCTGAAGAAGGTCCAGCTCCCCATGTGTGAATTGCCACAAAATGCCCTTCCAGCTCTCAGCAGCCTTCGCCTTAGTGAGATCTCTGCTGGCTGGAGCAGAAAAAAAGAATGAAGAATCAGAGGAAAGAAGACATTCTGACACACATCTTGTAACAAGGGAGGGCAGACAGATTTTGTTAAGCTTAATGTCTCTGTTGAGGAAAAGGGAATGACAAAGTTTCAAAGAGGGGTGGGAGGGTAGTATTAAATTTTAGGGATTTAGCAAGTTTGTCAAATTGCATTCATTAACTCATTGAACAAGCAGTTATTTATTGTCTAGTGTGCACTAAGAATTACTACTGTGTGTTGTTATCTGGTGCACACATTTTAACTCAATTGGAGGAAATAGGCTACATGACAGGAGAGAGCCTAATTTGGCATACCAATTATATCAGGTATGACTTCTTTGCCTTACATATAGTGTGGCTTTTAAGTAAACCCAATTGAAATAAAGTCAAGATTCGTTTCTACAATTCTGGGGGCAAAATCAAAAATACTTTCATGGAAGAATCCAAATGACTGAACTGCTCATCACATTAATCCCAGTGGAAATAAATGAGCAGGGGCATACATTGTAGCCTCACAAAAGTACAAGCAGGACTTTTCTCATACTCCTGCTGATTCCCCCCTGAGAGGGACAACTATTTTCCTGGTTTTCTGAAAGACTACTGGGTTGTCTTGCTACACACTCAAGCCCTCAGCCTCAGGCTGCTCCCATCCCAAGCCCTTTTTCAGTCAAGAGTAGATGAAGAATAAAATGTGCATATAGGGTTATCGTTACCATCTTTCTAAATTCCATATATATGTGTTAGTATACTGTAATGGTCTTTATCTTTCTGGCTTACTTCGCTCTGTATAATGGGCTCCAGTTTCATCCATGTGAAACACGTGCACCCCAATGTTCATCACAGCACTGTTTATAATAGCCAGGACATGGAAGCAACCTAGATGCCCATCAGCAGACGAATGGATGAGGAAGCTGTGGTACATATACACCATGGAATATTACTCAGCCATTAAAAAGAATTCATTTGAATCAGTTCTAATGAGATGGATGAAACTGGAGCCCATTATACAGAGCAAAGTAAGCCAGAGAGATAAAGACCATTACAGTATACTAACACATATATATGGAATTTAGAAAGATGGTAACGATAACCCTATATGCAAAACAGAAGAAGAGACTCAGATGTATAGAACAGACTTGTGGACTCTGGGAGAAGGCGAGGGTGGGATGTTTCAAGAGAACAGCATCGAAACATGTATATTATCTAGGGTGAAACAGATCACCAGCCCAGGTTTGTGCATGAGACAAGTGCTCCGGCCTGGTGCACTGGGAAGACCCAGAGGGATCGGGTGGAGAGGGAGGTGGGAGGGGGGACTGGGATGGGGAATACATGTAAATCCATGGCTAATTCATTTCAGTGTATGACAAAAACTACTGTAATGATGTAAAGTAATTAGCCTCCAACTAATAAAAATAAATGGAAAAAAAAAGAATAAAATGTGTTTTCTGGGACATTCATTGTGCTATGAATTGTGCTTTCTTGAACTAGATTAAAAATAGAACTGAACTGGGATAGGCACTCTTGAGAACGCCTCTGGGCCCTTCTCTTCCACTTGATGTCTTCAGGCGCTCTGCTCCCCTGAGGCGGCTGCTGCAAGCCAGAGGGAGCCAAGGTCCGCCCAGAGACTAGAAGTCAATTCAGGCTCCAGTCTGAACAAGAGGTGTCCTCGAGTTCCTCCAGGAGATACCAGCTCACCAGGCTCAGCATTTGCGAAGTTTTTCTAACTAGTAATAAAGAGTGTTCACTTACCTGCTGTCTTCTGTGTTGTGTGTACTGAGGGGCAGGTTTGCTCAGAAGCAGCAGTTTAAATCTACCTCTTCCCTCCATCCCACTGAGGTGACTGGAGAATTCAATCTCATTCGCTATTGAAGGGCCCCTCCTCTTCCTGCGAGTTACTCAAGAATTGGGGGGAGGGACTTCTGTGGGGTCTTCAGTCCATTGTGATTGTCCCTGCTCCCCTCACTGTCCAAGTCCTTGAAGGTGGGCTTCTCTGCTACTCCTGGGCCCATGGGGCACGAGAGGGGAGGAGAGGTGAGGTGAGGTGAGGAGGGGGCTTCTGCCTAGGTTGGGAGCCCTAGTGCCTCGTGTCCAGCCTCCCTACCTGCACCAAGAAGCCATTTCTCTGAGGCCTGTCTCCCAGAAGTGCCTTGAGCAGAAATTTCTGCCCTGCAGGGCACTCAACCCTCCCTCCTATGCACAATCCCATCAAGGTGCTCAGGATTCTGGAGAAGAGCCAGGCTTAGCCAGTCGGCTAACGTGGCGAATGTTCCTGGAGGCAAAAGGGGTCGAGTCTGGCTCCCTGCTTGGTGTAGAGACACATGGGGCAGAGAAGAGACATGAAGCTGCCCCACCAGCGTCCTCACTCCCAGGGTCCTGATTACCGGGAGGCCTTGGTTATTTAGGAGGGTACTGGGGAGGAAGGGGACCATCGAGGGCATCAACACAAAGCTAAGTTTTCTGGGTTGGAGGCTGGTTTTGTGATACACTTGTGTATGCTGATAACTCCCTGGAACTCTGGGAGGACAGGACACAGATGAGATGGGAATATTATAGTACATTTTAATCTGGCGGTTCTCAATGCATGGCTTTTGAACCAGCAGCATCAGGATCAACTGGGAACTTCATCACAAATTCAAATTCTCAAGCTCTACCTCAGACCTCCTGACTCCAGAAGTTGTGGGGGGGTAGGGTCTAACAGGTGTTTCTGGTGCTTACTAAAGTTTGAGAACCTTTGTTTGTACCCATAGTGTAATGGGAACAAATCACCCTGGATCTCATTATGGCTGGCTCACTTAAGGCTCCACAACACACTCTGATGACCATTGGAATGTCTGTAGAACTTTAAGAAACCAGATTCTCCAGGTACAACTCTTCTGTAGCTCAATATAGTCACCTAATGTTTCAGGACTGACTTTTTTTCATAGCAACCTGCATGAACCTTTGGCCAGAATCATTAAGGTTGGCTGTGCCCAAGCTGGACACACGCAGGTAAAGGCAGTAAGTTGTTTAAGAGCCTGGGTGACTGGGCTCATACACCTGCTCTACCAATTACTAGATGTGTAACCTAAAACAAGCTACTGAATTTCTCTGATCCCCAAAAAGTGTTGGCTCCCTTCCCCCACCATTAGGATCTCTGTGATGATGGGGTAATGGGTATAAAGGGTGCCCCTGGTGTGACTTCTCATACCACAGAGTGACCACCATGTGACACTGTGTGGCTATTATTCTCATTGGTGACAGCTCTGTAAAGTATAGGTATAATAGATGCCTCTGTTAATAGTTCTTCAAGAAGGATATTTTACTCCCATTTTAACAAATGTGGCAACTCAGTAAGTTACCCAAAGTCATTTAGTTGGGAGCTGGTGAAGCGTGGGTTCTAACCCGTCACCTGGCACTGAACCCCATGCCCTTTCTGCTATATCAGAACCTCAACCTTGTACCCTTACCAGTTACTAGCAGTGAACTGGGTCTGTCAATACCTTGCTGGATGTATCTGGCTATAATGGAAGGACTCTGAATCACAGAGCCAGTCTGGTGGAGAGAGAAGTGAGTGGAGGGGGTCAGAGAGTCAGGGTTGGTTGTTGTGGAATGTTGATGCTACAAAAGAAGGTGCTGGAAGGAGTGTGGACATAGCTTCTGGGGGTGTCAGCCTGCGGAAAGTTACAGGGAGAGTGATGCAGAAAGCGGAGCAGCATAGGGTGGCTGCCACGCTCCCCGCCCCACCTCCACAGAGCCCCTTGCCCTGAACACTTCCACTCCCATTTGTCAGAGTTGCAGAAGCACTGGCTCCAAGCTGACCCTTCCTCTGGGGGCCTCTGCATGCAGCGAGTGGTAAGTGTAGGGATGGGGAGAAGCCCGCTCAGGTGTGGTAGGAGGCGACAAAAGACTGCTCCCTGATAGGCGTGCTGCATCCCTCTGCAGGTGAGAGCTGTGCACAATGCATTGCAAATGCCAGTTAGCCAGACTAATGAGCAATGTTCAAGTTTTCTGTAATAAAAACAAGTTTCAAATGAGTGCAGAGCCCTGATACCTGGCAGGAGTGGAGGCTTTGTCCTCTCGCAGAGTCAACCCTTATTTATGAGCAAGATGCAAGAGAGAACCAAGGAGATTCATAACTCACTCTCTTGGGAAATTCTTTTCCTGAGGCCCTTTCTGACTATCAAAGTAAACTGGATTCACCAAAACAGAAGTAGGAAAAGCAATTAAAACCATGTACAATCCCCAAACCTGGAGGTAACTACTGTTTATAATGTATTTACTCTACATACACACACACTTAGGTGTATATAGAACCACATATTTATATACAGCGAGACACAATATGGTACATACTTTTTTGTAGCCTCCTCACTGTAAAAGTAGTGACTCAAATTTGGGTCCCTTCTATGGTGGGCTCTGCACCCCACATGGGGGAAGGTATAGGAATTGCAAAGCACTTCTGGGGTGGCAGAGCAGTTACAGATACAGAGAGATTTATTTACCAAAACAGATTAATTCAGTACATATTCCTTTCCTATATCTGTCTCACTTAGCAGTAAGGCACACTGTCTCATATCTGAATTATTTGAGAATGTAACTTCAAATGGTCATGTAAAATGCTGTCATGTCAGAGTTTCAATTTATTGTACTTAAGGAGTTCTCATTGGGCATTTAGATTATTTTCAAATTTTCATTTCACTCTCAACAATATTAGTGTGCAGAGTCTTCTGTACCATGCCCAAGAATAAGTATGAATGTGAAAGTTGCTCTGTTGTGTCCAACTCCTTGTGACCCTACGGACCCCATGTCCTTGGAATTCTCCAGATCAGAATACTGGAGTGGGTAGCCTATCCCTTCTCCATCTTCCCAATGGGTCTCCTGCATTGCAGGTGTTCTTTACCAGCTGAGCTACAAGAAGAAAATCTAATAGTAAATATAATCATTTAAAAAATCTTAACCAGTTTGAAAGGTCTTAGTTTTATTTGTATTTCTTTGCTTATATAGAAAGATGGAGTATTTTTTGAAATTACTTATCCATTTGTCTTCTGTCATGATTTATTCATGTCCTAAGTGTACTCATGGAATACTCACCTTGCTTTTATTTGATAGTAAGGATATTAACCTAACCCTTCGTCATAATTAGGATGCCAAGTATTTTCCCTTGTTTGTAGATTAAATTTGTGTGTGGTGGCATTTTGATAGAAGTATTTTAGTTTTATATACTGAAATCTTTTCCATTGTCATTTATTCATTTTCTTTTATTCTTAGGAAGGCCTTTGAGATAAAAGACAACTACCTATATCTGATTCTGTATCTTTTACAGTTTTTCAAAATTAAATCCTTAATCATCCTTGAATTTATCTTGGTACTTATGAGGTAGGTCTCAATGTATTTTTCCCCAAAATAATCAACCTAGTATCTCAGCATCATTTTTCAATGTTCCAGTCTTTCCCCGTTGATCTGAAAGGACCATCTTTATCAAATACCAAATAGAGTGTGTGTATATATGGTGTCCATTAAATTGTTGGTCTATTATTATATCCATCTAACATTTGATCTGAGCTTTATAACACATCTTAATAAATGCAGTAAAGTTATCACTCATTTTTTTCTAAATCTTCTTGGTAGTTATCACCTGTTTATTCTCAGTTGAAGCTTTATAATTTAACTATTCCTCTGCGTCTCAAATGTACCTCTTCGACTGGATTCTGTGAGACTTATACAATCACT